TGAGGCGGAGATAGCTGCACTTCTTGTTCTTTTTTCCCTTCGATTCTTTAACGCTTCTTTCAGGTCTCGCTACCCCTGACCATAAGAAGAATGTTATACTATAAGAGCGAGGTGCAAGTGCTGCATAAAGTTCTGTTATCCGTTGTTCAAGCCTTTCTTTGAGCAGAGCGCTTTCTTTCCGGTCATTGGCAAGCGCAGATGGGCTTTCACACCCGCTTATGTTGTGGGTGGGATGAAGGCATCTATCTTATTATATTATATGGAAGAAGATCGTTAGATGGTTAGCGGCTAGAACAAAACAAGGGGCGTTGTATGGAGGTTTCCAAGCAGAGGTGCGAAGCAATTGAGATGCATATAGAATAGATGGTAGGGTTCCAAACCTCGCCTAGCACCGAAAGAGAAGGCCTTGTTCTGCAGGGTACGGCCCTGGACAGTGGAAAAATAGAATAAGATGGAGCCTACCTACTTGGTTCGGACGAAGTAGATAGATCAAAGGAATGGAATCCAGGTGGCTCTTATGCCACTTTTGATGGTCTCGGTTCGGACGAGATAGATGGAAAAGCATTAGGTCGATGGCCGGGGTAATTTCCTTCCCACTCCGAGGCATATTGATCTGGATCCCTGGGAACAGGTCTTAGAGAAGTAGATGGCTCGGCTCCACTGGGAGATGGGAAACTATATGCGGAGTTAGAGGCAGAGGGACTTGTACTTGGCTAACCGTCAGAGGGATGGTAAGTAGATTGTTCGATAGCTTACCCACGAAGATGGATTTTATTCTGGTCGGCCACCATAGTACTAAGACTGAAAGCCTGCTAGGCAGTCTACACAGAAGGGAAGTCACCAAACGTGGGAAAGAGTACCTTTTTCTTACTCGAAGGAACCGCTACCATAGGATTTAAGACAAGGATGCCTTATTGTTTGGACTTTCATTAAGGATAGACCTAGGATTGAAAGAGTCGCAATAGATGGATAGCATCTTCAAGGGATTGATGGCTTCTTCAGGAAAGGCTTGGCCTCCAGAAGATGAGGACTTTTTCGGAAGGATAGAGTCATTGTATTCCCGAGTACTGATTCTCTTTTAGGATGGTATTCTATTGAATGAAGGCTACCTTCTTACTTGGCAGGATGGGGTAGACAGATATAGTACGATTGGATTGATGGATGGTGCACTATCCTTCTCCCAATCATTTCTCAGCAAAACCAATGAGTACAACTTATTAAAGGGAAACTACGAAAAAGATCTTAGAGCTAGCTGTCTCAATCATCCACAGCTCCGGGATTAATGTGCTCTTTTTTATGCTGGAGTCATAGCTTATCTAAATTCTTATTCCCACCCCTACAAGGTCTTTAAATAAAATGAAGATAAGACGATAACTTATCGTCTGCATCTATAACTACTTCTGGTTTATATACACTGCTAAAAGGTTGAATTCCAAACGATTAGGTTAGGGCAGGGTGGAGTTCCTCTTTAGCACTGTTCTTTTAGGTGTAGTTCCGTCAAGGCGCCAAGATCAAACTCCGGCCGGGAGGGGCCGAAGACTTGATAGGTGTAGTGACTTAGATTCCATGGAGTACCGTCAGACTTTCATGTAGTTCCGTCTAATCAAGGTATAAAAGAAAAAGAAAAGCCGACCTTTTCTTTTCCACGCTTTTTTACATTTCAGTTCAGATACGTTGCTCGACTTGCGCCTTTGCACGCTCGACCGCTCCCCCATCCCGCCTGGCCCATTCTAGCGGGGAATAACCTCAATCCGTAGAAGCTGCATCCTCAAGGGCTGAGTGATTATGCCAGTGATCAAGATATCAACCACATAAATAGGTAGTAAAATGGTTATGGACCCACGATGACGAAAGGTAAGTGATGCGTCGGACTTAGAAAATCTTAGGCCAAACTAAATGTTGATCAGTGAAGACAAGAAAGCTTTTAAGTGTAGACGACTACTTGTACTTGAAATTCCATTCCTTTATCCGGTGGGAGGGTTTAGAGCCAGTTAAGCCAATAGCATATCTAGCAAAAGCTTCAGTAACACCAGCTACATCAGTAGATCATTGATTAGCATACCTCCTCTGAATAGTCTACGTGGACCCTAGTTTCTATTACTATTAATTCGAATTAATCCAGTAATGCATACAGCCTTTACTCTCTTAAAGAGCAGGAGGTTTAGCGTCAACTCATTCAATGAATGTTCTTTCATTCACCACACGGATGAATCCTACTCTGTATTTTCCAGCGGACAGTCATTTGTCTAAAGAGAATAGACGTATAGCAGCTCTCTCTCATAACAGAATGAAAGCAAGCAAGAACGAAATGAGCGCTTACCCTATCGACCGAAGCTACTATCCTAAAATAAGAAACTCCTAAATTAAAGAACTACAGGAAAGGTAATATACTGAGCTAGCCTCCCGTTATGCACCAATGTTTGAAGAGGACCGTTAACCTTTACCAAAAGAAAGAAGGGCTATTGGTCAGTTTCCTATAGTTGACCGATAGAGCTCGACCGATTGAGACAGGGCAGATGCGACCGATGGAAGGGATCTAATTTGAAGAAGGAAGTCATTTGTGGACTGATTCCGACCCTTTACCAGAAGACAAGAGATTCGCGGTATGGCTTCAGAAGAGGTATTCATTATACAGATATCGTTTAACGAATTGCCCGATTGCCGATTCACTGCGCCTACCTATCTTCAATCACCCAGGAATGTTCACTTGGCCGCCTACCAATGATGCCTTTCACTTTCAGACAGTTCCTCGCGCATGAAAGGACTTCACTTATAAAGTCAAGATAAGAAAGGATGGTCTACGATCAGGGAATGCCTTTTTTGTTAAAGAGAATTGGCCGCAGAGAGAGCGCCTATCTCTCATAAGAGAAGGAGAGCCACTTTTTTTTAGAGTATATTAATGAGTAGGACTGAAATTCCAAGCGCTCCTAGCTCAGAAACCACACACAGACAAACACATGGAGGCCCATAAAACCCAACAATAATAGACTAACAAATATACGTGACATACACTTCCTGTGTGAAGTTTTCATCTTAATGAATCAAAGCTCTTTGTAAAATGCTACTTTTCTTTCTGCAACAAGTAAGAGTACTTTTTCTTATCATACACCCTTATGAATGAATGAATCAAAAAAATGAGACTCCTAAACTGGCCCCCCTCCTCTGTTTCTTCAAAGACAGAGGTACACATCACAGGAAAAAACCCCAAAAACAGAAAGAGAAAGAAGTAAGTCAAAAAATAGGAAATACTGCTAGATGGCTACCAGATTAGCAGCAAAGTACGCTTTTAGTTCCTTTTGGCACAACAAAACAAGGTAGTAATACGGGAGAAGGTGGTCCAGTAATCTTCTCCAGCAGGGTGGCCATAGTGAGATAGAGTGGTGAAACTGGGTTCCGAATAAAAAAAAACAGAGCGAGCGGGGAAGGCAAAAGCTATGACATTGGAATCCGCTTCAAGGTAAGCCCCACTCCACTGAATTGGAGAATTCCAGAACACGTATCAGAGAGTGCTCCAATGGCAGTGGGGCACAATTGAGATAATTTCGACGATTAGAAAAGAAAAAGAAGAAGGTTAGTGTTCAATGAGCTCGAGATAGCTGCCTGATGAGAGGAAGGGACGCCGGGTACAATCTTTCTTTGGTTCCAGCCCCCCGGTTACACCAAAGCACACCAGTCAACACTGTACTATAGCGCTTACACCTGTGAGTTGGCAAAATAATATCGTATGTTAATAAAAGACCTGAGTTGGCGAAAAAAAAAAAAAAAAAAAAAGCTAACGCTAACTAAGTGTTTAGTTACCATGCCCAAAAGCCCCATGCCTTTCCTGGTTGGATAACCAAATCCAACCGGCGATTTCCTACAAGTTTCTCTTTTTTTTGGGGGAAGCTAAGAAAGGACAAAGAAAAATGAATATCATGTTTACACCGATCGGATTTCAAAAAGTCCTTCGACCCTTACCTTTTATTCATTCTATGATTCTCCTTTCTACCCTTGTTTTGACTACCTGTCTCCTGTCTCATTGGATTGGCTTTGATCCCTACCTTATTATAGAGAGGGTCAAAGGTTCTTTTTTACTCCATGCCTTACGTGCTCTTTTTAGGCTCTTTGGTTTGGAAATACCTATCCTTCTTCTTTCGCTCGTCGCTTTGGTAGGCGGTTGCAGCAGCTTTCAAATGGAGGATAATTCCGCTGGAGGAAGGGCGGTGGATTCAGGGTCGGGGTCGGATAATTGGCAAAAGTACCTCAACTTATCCGAGGAAAATGACTCCGCCGCATCAGCCTCTCCCCCGTCGTCCTCTTTTTTCAGAGGACTTTCGGACATGTCCCCTGCACCGGACCTTGGGGAGGAAGTGCAGCAAGTGAGCCCTACTCATTCCATTTCCCAAACGGATCTATGGAATTCACCTTCCTCGTCGGCTCCAACCCCAGGTCAGGATAATCAACCGCCCCTGATCCCAGAGCTCCACCCTCCGCTTCTCGATGACGACACCCGTCGAGCGGAGCTCGCGAGTAGGTTAAGAACCGTTTTATGGGGGAAAGCTTATAGGGAAGAAATGATAGACTCCGTTGTTGATACGCAAGTGCAGATTGAAAAACATATTCAAGCTGCACTTGTGGGACGGGACTATTCGGTTGAGTCTCTTCTTGCGAAGAGGCACCAGATCAGGGGGCTCATCTTCTCCCCAATGGGAGAAGCGCTTAGTGAAAGGACTTACGCTTTGCACCTGAAGGAGATTCTCCAGTTGGGTACAGTGCAAAGCCTTCCATTTCGGCGGGTTGAAAGGGCCATAAAGGACTTTAATCTCTTTCTTGAACTTGAAAGAGCGTAAATTCTGCCTTTTTTGATCCCAATTTCCCACTCTTTCTGTGAGGCAAAACCTCACCACACTACACTACACTTCGACACAAGAGAAGAGGACCGGGCGCTTTGTATCTTCGGGATAGGAGTTGGCGGTCTTCTTTAAGAGAACTTCAATCTAATACTCATTATGGATCAACTCATGTTTCCACTCTATTTTCATTACGAGGATGTATCACGTCAGGATCCGTTGCTCAAACCGAATCACGCCAACGTTATGGAAGTTCCTGGATCGTGTAAAATAATAGTAGTACCAAAGACAGCACCTTCTATCAAAAATGGAAAATTGGCTATGGAGATTCCGTGCGGCCAGAAATTAAAACAAAGGGCTTCAACAGGAAAGTCGTTTCGATCCAATCCATTCTTGGGGTCAAATAAAGACAAAAAAGGATATGTCAGTGACCTAGCACGACAAAGCACTCTCCGAGGGCATGGAATGTCACATTTTTTGGTCAGAATATCCACAGTAATGTCTCTGTTAGATTCTCCGCTCGAAATAAGGGAAAGGTCAATTCAATTCTCGATGGAAACGGAATTTTGCGAATTCTCCCCCGAACTGGAAGATCATTTCGAGATCTTCGAACATATTCGAGGGTTCAATGTTACTATTGTAACTTCGGCCAACACACAAGATGAGACTTTACCACCGTGGAGCGGCTTTTTGCAAAAAGATGAGGGGGAAACTCAGTAAGATGTCGGAGAAGCGAAATATACGAGATCACAAACGTAGATTGCTCGCGGCTAGGCTAAATATGAATTGAGACGAAAGCTTTATAAAGCCCTTTGTAAAGATCCCGATCTTCCTAGTGATATGCGGGACAAACATCGTTCTAAGTTGTCCAAGTTGCCAAGAAAGAGTTCCTTTGCACGAGTAAGAAACCGATGTATTTACACGGGTCGCCCTCGTTCCGTATATGAGTTCTTCCAAATTTCTCGTATCCTTTTTCGTGGATTAGCATCTCGAGGTCCTTTGATGGGCATAAAGAAATCGTCTTGGTAGCAACCACCAAACCAATAGAACAAGGGTTCGCTCCGCAGCAGGTCTACAAGCAAGGTAAGTAGGTCCATTACCAGCCGGCTCCGGACCGAAAAGACCTAACGGACTAATCCCTTATCTAGGATCGTAGATGCTAACGGGGCGGGAATCGAAGTGGGGGACCCCTCTACCGCCTGTGTCTATCTCCTGTCAAGTATGCTCCCCAGACATAGACTACGTACAGGGTAGTACTCTTGGAAAGATAGAATATCACCGCGTGAACATAACATGTAATGTTGTTACGAATGTAACTCCCGAAGGATCGACCACTATTCTAAATATAGTAAGGCGGAGAACTGTTGTTCAGTGGAGCGCCGGAGTGCGGAGGTTGTTCCCATCATTGAAGTCAGGGTGTGGGACTGAGCCTTCCGAATGAGAAAGAAGAAAAGTGCTTAGTTTCGTTGGAAAAACCAACGCAAATATCATATTGACTTTCTCTCGCCCTACTTCTAAAGATAGATAGAAAGGGTTGGAGAGAATTTCAGAAAGTCATTCTCTCCTTTCTAAAGCTGCGCAAGGCGGCCCCCCCAGAACAAAGCCCACCCCTCTTTTCCCCCCTTTAATGAAGGACCCTCGCCTCGCTTCCTATTCATTTGTGGGTCTGGACCCTATTTTTTTTTTTCAATTTCGAGAAGAATGGGAAATTTTTCTCGCAGACAACGGTGCTCTGGTCGAAAATTTGGGGATCAATAAAATAACAACACCCACCTAACCTAATTAATGTGGTGTGGAAGGGCAAGCGATAGAAAAGTCCCTCGCGCGAACTACTACTACTAGAAAATGGTGAGACCATTAGTGAAAGAAGGACCAAACCAAGGAGGATCCTCGAATCCTGATCAAGCCCCTGAAGCTGGAAGATTGCGCATCCGATCATCGAGCGGCGCAGGTACACTCTTTCCTTTTTTTTATCCCACCTGATGATTCAACTGATTTTTTTCAAGCAATCGCAGCTACTTTCTTTCTCTTCCACTGCCTTCCCACGGACAACATAAAGCACCAACAGCGTCCGAGATTACTAGATAGAGGAGAGACCTGTACTGAAAGTTGAAAGTAAGAAAGCTTAGTTAAATGAAAGTTCTTTCAACATTTGTATCTGCCTTTCTCATAAAGAGAACAGAACTTCCTCCCGTGTGGAAGTCTGTCTTTATTCGCTGCTCCTGCTCGTCAAGTAGGCGCTTTATGCTCTGCTCTTCCAGTTAAAGTCAAGCTCCGGGTTTTTGCTCTAGTCAAAGTTCTATCTGGCTTTCCGCTGGGAAAGTAAGAGACGAGTATAGTTGCGAACCTGGAAGCCTGCTGAAAAGGGCTTCTCTTTCTAGTTCGAGAAGTTTTAAATAAAGCAAAAAGCTTTTTTCAGATGAATGGCTTGATTCTACTTCTTTCACTTTCTTTAGCTATTGTTCACTAGTCTAACAAAATAATAGTTATATATATATATATATTTCCTCTCTTTATCTTATCCTTACCTTAATAAAGGAACTTAATAACTAAACTTCCCCCTTGTCTTTATCCTCTTGTTCTGAGCCTGCCACCTATCGAGCCGAACAGAGCCTTTCGCCTTAGGCGCGATAGCTTCACTCTTAACCCGCATTATCTGAGAAAAGCATAGAAACAATTCCCTCATCCCGACTCAGCTTCTCTCTCCGATACAGGAAATCTAACAATTCCTATTCTTACTAACCTTTTTGCCTAGCGTCTTTCCGATATATTGAATTATCATCCCTAATCTACGATAGCGTGATGCCACCAACAGTCGATTTATTAGACTGCTCCCCTTAATTGAATCTCCAGGCCTGCCAAAGACTGCCCACTTACAAAAATGGCCTAAGCCTATGCCAATGGACTCATGACATCCATGCACTGAGTCGTCAAATGACGCACGTTAAGAAGACCCAAGCCTACATGCACGGGCCCATCCCACAAAGTCCTACAAATGAAGACTCGGGCCTGTCAAGCCTGCTTTCCTCGATCCAAGCCCGGTGAAAAAAAAAAGCATAAGAAGAGTCCGATAATGGCCGGTCTTTAAAGGCCCTTAAGAAAGAGGCTTAAGTCATCGATTCCAATCCGATAACGCTTTTCTTTTTATTGGTATGCCGCTCCGCGTCCGCGAGCAAGGAGCGAGCTAAGTAAATCTTACCTGAAAATGAGTGAGATTCGATTCTTTTTCCTTTGTCCTTTTTGTTTTGTCATTTTCTTTTCTCTATGATCCCAATTATTATATAATAGAAACTATAAGAATCCCAAAACATCACATAATACGTAAAAAAAAAATAGAGTCTCAATTTTTTTTTTTTCAATTTCTAAACAACTATCGTTTGTGAATGTAGGTTGTGTCGGGGATATACTGTGGCTAGTAAGTCATTTCGTTTGCATTTTCTTCAACGAGACCGAAAACACAGCAATGATTTGTTTTATGGACAGTTATATTATTTCCAGCCCAAATGAGGTAGTGCCTAATGTCACCGGGAGCGAGTTGGTAGGGGGGCCTGAGATCTTGAGAATGGATCAAGGAAATCCTGATGCTCCGCCAGCCATTCCTCATGCTGAACAGGCTATGGGGGATCTGGATCTAGCCTTGCGATTGGGGCCGCCGAGCCCAACAAAAGAGGCTCTCGAAAGAGAGCTTTCGACCTTTCTTTCTTCCTTTGGAAATAGGGAAGTTAGAAGGGATGTCTTGGAAGGGACAATAAGGAAACTCGACTTGAACAGCGCGTCCCCAGAAAAGCTTTTTTTTGAGGATCCGACAACTTATGCAGGAACTTTCCAACAGACCGGTTGCTGCTTCCACAGCTAAGAAGGCTTTATTGAAAGCTTTAAAAGAGTGGGAGAAAGGGGACGCATGAGCGTTGGATAATGGAAAGAAGGTAGAATTGCTCGGGACCCCTAGTGATCGATTCTTTTTCTTTTATATAGGTAGGGTTGGGCAGCGACTCTACTCCTTGAAGTGAAGAATCGAAAGTCGTCGTTCGTTAGACAAGGCCCACGTGCTGTGCATCTCAGGTGTTCTGCTCGTGGGGAGAGGGATGCGGGAAAGTGGGGTCCTCTCACCTGTGCTCACTTCCGTTTTAGAAGTCAGATTGGATTTCCAATTGGTGCTCAACAGAAGGGTTCCAAACCTCTGAAAGGCGAGGCAGATTTAACGCTACGCCCTTCCCTTAGCGCCTCCCTCTAGGCGGGGCTCACAACCAAAGGATGCACGGGGTGAAGTTGCCACCATGAACTAAGGATTGGAAGGGTTGAGGATAGAGTTTCTTTTTCATTTCCAGGGTAGTTGGCAAGAGCTATAGCAGCTTACGATGCAGTTGATTCGGAAACATACGCCAGGGCGGTTGGGTGGGGAGTCAGATCAGGCCAACGGTCCTGCTCCGCTTTATACTAAGAGAGTTTGGTTGGGTCTGACTCCGTTATAGGGCTAGTACGCCGAGCAGCTTCGAATTCTGCTGTGCCGGTGCACAAAGCAAGCACACAAGGACTGCGTAAATCTTTGGTCTGTCTATCATTGCCCATGTTGGGCTGACTCCTTTTTTTAGGCAAGAAGACCACTAGTTGAATTATTAAACTATTAAGACTAACTGAAAAAAGGGTACTACTCTTCTTCCTCCACTACTGATATTGACTGACCTGTTGATAGGATAGCAGGGAAAGTTGAGAGTATATCCGGAGAAAGAAAAAAACCTTTTCAGGATGAGACTACGAACCCTAATGGAGCCAATGAGAAAGCAGTTGCAGGCCAGTGTAGGCTTGCTCCGCACAGGTTACATCTGGGCCTTATATTGATATTCTTTTCAATTCATTTGGAAATTTCTTCGGTCCGGGGTACCGCGCAATCCGTTTAGATCTATTTCAGTTGCCAATGAAATGGAATACGGGGGACTCTCCGTCTAAGTGGTTAATCCGACGAGTCAATTCTCAATGCGATGCATCCGTGAAATGGGACGGAGATCTGCCCGAACTTAGTCCAGTCCTATTAAAGATGGGGGCGAATCAAGCAACTCTTATAGATAGATGGGATAGGAAGGAAGAACCACTGATAGCATTTGCAGCTGCTTCTTTCCGATCGATATACAAGCAGTTGGGCGCGAAGCTTTCTTCGTGAAAAAGCTCGTCCTTGTCAATATAGGACTGTCTTTCATTCTGCTTTTACTTATTTTTTGGAAATCTATCATTTTCCAAATTTTTTCATTGTCTTTAGTACGATCTGGCTTCACACCTCTCGCCTATCGGAACACCAACCCAATCTTGAAAGCTGAAGTGGGTTTGGGGAATGGAAGAACAAGAACATCTTCTTTACCACCAAAAATGGTAACATAAGACCCTTCTTCACTCATGCTTGTCATCTGCTCGTGAATACCGTCCAGTCAAGTCTTTGTTCTTTTATTCTTAAATATGGGTGCTAACCAGATTCCCCATGTTATATGCGAGGTCAATAAAATTCTCCAGAGAGTGAGTTTCTGATCATAATGACCACCTAAAGTTGGATTTCCAGTTGTAGTTTTTAGTTTGGGGTGCCAATAGTAGCATAGTTGCTTAGTCGTCCTTCCTCTTACGTATTACAATATAGGTGCTTTGAATGCTGCCTTTAGCGGAAAACGGACTTAATGGACAAATAAGGGATAGGCAAGAATCTGTTCTTGAACTCTAGAGAACAGGCGGAAAGA